GGTAAAGTCAGGCATCGTCAACGCCTCCCATGCTCAGCTTCAGCATGGATCGGGGATCGATCGACCAAGTTAACAGATTTCATCGAAAAATGAGCCCGCTGCATATGGAAGGCTCGGCTTGTGTGTCATGCTTCGAGTCATCTTCGAGAGCCATTTTACCCTCTATTATCGGTTGGATTGGTTGAGTCATGCTTGGGTTATGTCTTCTTCGAAACCTCCTCACTTTTTCGTTTCAATCACAACAACACGAGCGACACGTACGTGAAGAACACAACTGCCGCGATCGCTCGTGTTGTTGTTGTGTACGTGAAGGACACCAACTGCCGATCGATCGCTTGTGTTTTCACGTTGTTGTTGGTATCTTGCTACCTAGAACTGGCATCGGTCGTTTATACTGGCTTGCAGTTGGTCGTTTGAATTTCAAAGATTCGCGCCATCGACCACGAAGGATCCACTACTCATAAATTCCAGCTTCGATTGACTCGATTGACTGGTCCATCAGCTCCTCCTCTTGTTGCCGTCTCCTCTTCTCTGTTGCCTCTGTTGCCGCTCCTTCTATGTTGCCTTGTTGCCATTGCCGCCATTGCTTTGCCCTCTTGTTGATTTTCACTTGATGGACCTTGACGACGCTTCCTCTTGGCCTGCAGCGGTGATAGAGATAACAGTAGTAGCAGCAGCAGCAGTAACGTTAGTAGTAGCTGTAACAGTAGCTTTAGCGCTCGGTTGATCGTGATCGAAAAGGGTGGACTCCCATAGGAGTCCATCGTTTGATATAAGATCCTCATCGCGATTTCGATTTCGATCGACGATAGGAGATGGGAGATTGCTTACGAGCGAATCAAGGGGATTGCTTTCGAGCGAATCCAAGATAGGATACTCATTGAGATTACGATCGTCAATAGGAGTAAGGTCGAGGGGATTGCTTTCGAGCGAATCCAGTCGAGAAAAGGGGTTACCACTGATGATAACAAGGGGTAGACATATAAGAATAAGAATGACTAACATCTCATAACCTCGCATGCTACCATGCGACAATACCATTGTGGCATTGATTAATCTAGGGATCTAAGAGATGTAAAGTTTGTATTTCCAAATAAGTGAGCAGTTATTGATTATTTTCTAGAATAAGCCTGCCAATTGTAAAGCTGTAAAGCTGAATTGTAAGCTGTATCCCGTCGCAAGCTATTGTGTTTGTTAACAAAATGCACTACGCTAAAAGCTAGTGTAAAGATCTTTCGAGTGTTTTGAGTTTGAGAGAATGAAAGTTATGAGAGGATTAGAAAGCTATGAAAACTAATCAACGAGAGAGATCCACAATCAAAGGATCGTAGATCTGAACTCCCGCGGGAGACTGTAGAGTGAGATAGAGTAGGTTGCGGTAGCAATCCTACTCGCTCCACGATCCAAAAACGGAACGCGTGGAAGATTCGTCTAGCATTTATCTAGTAGCGTGGAAGTACTCCACGCTGGCTAAATATCTAGAGCGATGTTTCATCATCAACCTAGTATGACTAGAGCGGTCATTGAGAATTCTGTCTCCAATGACTATTCGCGAAGGACTACGTCATGAGTCGAACTCAGACCCTATCTAGGATCGAGTCGCGAATAAGGCTAAGAGCCGTGTGTTGCATTGGCTAAGAGCCGTGTATTGCACACAACTAGCTAGGTACATGCAATCAATCACAACATTCTTGCTTCGTTCGGTCATCTGAATCCGATAATAGGCTTTGAGCCCCCCCTGCCACCGTGCTGGCTACTGGGTACCACTCGAGTAATAGCTAAGCACTTCTATGAGAACGGACCGATGAGACAGCTTAATTTTTACCACAACATCAAGGATAAATCCTTCAAGGTCACCCAGTACCATTACTCTAATAGGTTACAGCAACCAGCCAGACAGTTAGAGGTGATAAAGGTTCTTTTGGAGTTGCTCGAAATCTATCATCCTGCAGACACGTACTGGTACCGGTACCGGTGGACAATGGTACAACACGTAGATCACCTGAAGCCAAGAATCAATCAATCTTGCAAAGGTCACTACGGTTGTGGGTTGTGGGGAAAGGCAAGCTGCTCAGAGCATCTGAGGAAGCGATGAGACAATTTTATACCATAATACATTCATCATCAAGGATAGATCCAGAAAGATCACCTGCTACCACTAGACTAGCTAGCTAGCTGGGTCACTAGCTAGCTAGAGGTGATTACATACTAGTAGTACCGGATAAGCTTGAAATCGAGAAATCTCAAAGTTAGACTGGCAAAGGTGTCATCTCTGAAGGTTCAATGAGCAAACCGAACAGTCGGTACATGTTTATGTACTGGTACCACGTACGTTGCTGACATGTCCCGGTGGACGACTATGCTTATTATGGCCATAAGTATGATAGTACTGTTGGTTGGTTGAAAGACCTGGGTTGAAAGGGCCCGAAATCAGGATTTACAAGTAATTCTGCTTCATATTTGGGTTTCGATTTGATATTTGGGTTTTGATTTGATATTTAGGTTTCAATTTGATATTTAGGTTTCGGCTTATATTTAGGTTTCGATTTTATATTTAGGTTTGGAATTGATCAATTTAATTGGATTCTTAAAATCCTTATTTCGGGCCGTTTCGTGAACTTGGCTCCCGTTTTGACAAGGTTGGTATGATAGTCTAGTACAGTCGTACTAGAACCGTATTCGAAGTCTCCTGAAATCCAAGCTTCCAACCAACCAAAGAATACTGGCAGTAGTACTGTACAATTGTCTATTAGTGAGGTTCTTTTTATTTTTTTATTTCTTTGAACACCCAAAATCCAGTCAACAAAGAATTATACTCTGTTTCCTTTTCCTGTCAACTTTCTGCATGTTCCGTTGCAGCATCACCTTGAACTTCAAGGTTCTTCAAGGCTTGAAGAACCTTTCGTCCCCAAAGGTTCCGAGGGTCTAAGTAAGTGACTGAGGGCTTAAGAGAAAGTTTAACCGTTGGCTCCCACTTCCAACCTCCCATGACCTTACACAAGAGAATGCCACCTTTGGATGATCATTCTTTGGATGACCCATTGGATACCACTTGTCAGTTAAGTCTTTAAAGGCACTACCTTTATCACCTTCAGTGGGCTGCTACAGTAGCCCAAATCACTCCATGATTCTCAGTCTTCTCCTCCCAAAGGTGTTTGGGCTACTCGAGTAGCCTAAATTCACTCCTTTCTGTTTGGGCTACTTGAGTAGCCTAAATTCGCCCCTTTGTGTTTGGGCTACTCGAGTAGCCTAAATTCGCCACTTTGTGTTTGGGCTACTCGAGTGGCCCAAATTCGCTCCTTTGTGTTTGGGCTACTCGAGTAGCCCAAATTGGCCGTGTCCATTGGAAGTGTACTTAGACTGTTTTGGCTTGTGACTTGTGGCTTATCGCTGTATGCCACCATTCAAAAAATGTCACCTATTTGGGCTACTTGTGTAGCCTAACCTCCAAAATTCAGTTTGGGCTGCTCAAGTAGCCCATATGTTTGGGCTGCTCATGTAGCTCAAACTTTGAGATGCTCGAGTAGCCCAAACAATCAGAAGATGTTGAGCTACTTGAGTAGCCCAATGCACTAGCTACACATTGGGCTACTTGAGTAGTCTAGATTTTTGGCTACTGGAGTAGTCCAGTTCTTCTCTGCAACTTTAGGCTACTCCAGTAGCCCAATGCCACGGCCTTTAAGTAAGAAATTGATGTCCTCTATGTAATGCAGGGCATGCACTTACTTAACTAACAAGTGGTATCCAATGGGTCATCCAAAGAATGATCATCCAAAGGTGGTGCTCTCTTACACAAGCAAGGTCGGGAACCAGACTGCAATCCTTTTTTGACAGTTTCTCAAATGAGAAAGTAGTTTCTCATTTGAGAAACTAAGTTCTGAAATGAGAAAGTTAGTTTCTCATTTGGTTGAAATGAGAAACTATCTTTTGAAATGAGAAACTATGTATGAAACTGCTAGTACATGTGTTGTGATTTCTGCCAGAAATGAGAAACTATTTTATCAAATAAGAAACTTAAACTGTTAGTTTCTCAAATTGAGAAACTAAAAATGAGAAACTAAAACTAAAAATGAGAAACTAAAACTGTTTGAAAAATTTCAAAACATCATTGGGGTTTCCGGACCTTGAAGAAGTGCTTATTGGTGCAACCAATTTCACTACTAGCTAGCTAGCTAGTAGTCTAGCTGTCTAGCTAGCTAGTCTGGAGTGACGAGTCATGATCTATGGCTGGCCACCGGATGCAAACTGTACCGGTAGGCTGGATCAGTCTCACTTCTGCAAGGTCTTGTGTGGGAGAGACACAGTTTTATGAGCTTAGCACAAATTTTGATGCAGTACTAGCTAGTACTCGTGCCCGACCTCATAACCCGAAATATCCAGAAGTGCGAACAAGACAAGCCATGATCTGTGGACCTACCTCAGTGAAAGCTCATCGGTTTTGACAATCAAGGTCTCAAAAAACGCTCAGTCGTCAAGTACAACCAGGAAGAAACAATGAAGCAGCAGGTCCAAGAAATCCTCCCATTGCTGGTGCTGTTCTCTCTACCTGCATCGCTGCTGATTTCTGGAAGTGAGAGCAGTGAAATGGAAGATGCGAATGTCTTGATCCCTTTCAAGGCAACTTTGGCTTTCCTTCTGGTGGGTGCGTTTGCCAAAGAGTACACGGAGTGCCTTCCAATTCGAATGGTGGCCTCGTTGTCTGTTCCAATCCACGTTGTCGCTGGCACGTTCACCTCCATGTGGATGGCAGAAAAGGCAAACATCTCGTGGACGACTTCCTTGCTTTGGGCTCCCCTTCTTGTGTTGGGCTTGGTTCTCTTGGTGCTGACCAACGCTTCGTTCGTCACCAAAGGCGACGGCACCCTAAGTCCTTTGGATCCACCCATGAAGCTGGTGATTGAGGGACCATATCGCCATGTGCGAAACCCCATGATCTCAGGGATTGTTTTCATCATGGCTGCCATCACTTTGGCTGCCGGCGTGCCGGCCCGAATGCTCATATTCACCCTTTGGTTTTTTCTCGCACACACATTGTACATCGTGTTCGAAGAGGAGCCCAAACTCCGAGAACGCTTTGGAGCTGACTACGATGCCTACGTCCAGAAAGTCAACCGCTGGGTTCCTACTTTTACGAGCATTGGAGTCGGCCGTGCCTGAGCGGAGTTTTCTGCTCGATTGCCTCATTCCGCCATGAGTATGTTCCTTGCTGTAGTGTAACCTAATGAATCGTGTTCATTCTTTTCCGGTGGATACATATCCGCTACAACATACACCCAAAGGTCTTCCTTGGTCTTGAGCTAGAGAATCAATCCACTGTTGGGGTGCGTGGGGAGAATGAAGATTGCTCTTTACAGCCTAGTAATAACGGGTTTCCTCATGGTGGCGATGCATCGACCAGTGACTGAGATCTTCAGCAACTCCACTGGCAAAAAAAGCTGATTACTTTCCACCCTTTAGTTTGTTTTTGATGTATGTGTTGACGTGGGTTGGTGGCAACTTCTTTGAGCCAGCTACTATTGTTGTGCCAAGATTGAATGACCTGGTGCTCACTGAAGTGCTTCAGGTCTCCATGTAAACTTCCACCACTATCAGTAGCTGTACGTCGTACCGGTACCTGTAAGTAAATCAGAATTGAAGCGATCTCTATGGTATATTGCAGGGCTAAGCTTGGCCCCAATTCCACAGCTTGTCCCGAGGTTGTGGAGCTGTATCTTGGTCTCGGGTCCCTTGTTGGGGCTCGTCGTCTGCCCACGATGTTTCCGGTACGTCGGTACTCTAGAGCAGCGGTACTCAAAGCGCAAACAATAAATCTTTCGGGCCATGGGGATCCAAAAATTACTTTATCACCAGTTGGGTGGGAGTGAACTGTGAAGAACATCTACAGCCAACCCAGGCGCAACACGAGTCTATGTCGGGTCGCCTGAACATACCGTAGCTGGATGGTTTCAGGAGCTCACAATTCCCAAATACACAGATACACAGATACAAACCAACAACAACACCATGAACCAAACAACTTTTCTTTCCGCCTTTCTTTCGCACTGCGAAGAAACTCCTGACAAGGTGTGGCTCACGCAGCCCATGAACAACAAGGGCGTCCTGAAGACTTGGACATTCAAAGAAGCTCTCGATGAGGCCAAACAAATGGCAGGATTCCTTGAATCCAAAAACTTCGAAAAGGGCACCAAGATAGCCATATGCTCGAAGAACTGTGCTTGGTGGGTTCTAGCGGACATCTCGAGTAAGTATAACTTTGTTCCACGAGCGATCGCTTACAGCGTCTATCCCTGCTATTTGATCTAACTCCCTCTTCTCTCATTGACTCTTCTAGTCATGTTGGCCGGTCACGTGAGTGTCCCTGTTTACCCCACGTTGACTCGGGATACAACCGCCTACATTTTGGAGCATTCTGAGAGCAAGCTCCTCTTTGTGGGCAAGCTTGATCAGAAGCCGTGGGAAGAGATGAAGATAGGTATTCCAGACGACCTCGAAAAGGTTTGCTTGCCATTGGGCATAGACAGCAGCGTTGGCGCACGCTGGAACGACCTTATTGAAAAGGCCGAGTCGATAAAGGAAACCGTGGACCGTGCGCCGGAAGAACTGGCAACGATTGTACGTAACCTTGCCCAATGCTATGGCGCTTCGACGACCGCGACGATTTGCAATCTCTGACTTGTTTCTGACCTCCATGTTGCTTGGCTGTTTGATGTGTACAGATATACACATCAGGATCCACAGGCAAACCCAAAGGTGTCATGCTTTCCTTCAAGGCAATGACCGCCGCTGTGAGCACCATATGCGACGTGTACAATATTTCCGCACGCGATCGGTGGCTCAGCTACTTGCCCTTGAGTCACGCCATGGAAAGGTTCCTAATGAACTGTTGCATGCACTCTGGAATGGTCATATATTACCCCTGGTCCTTGGATACCTTTGTGGTGGACTTGCAGAGGTGCCGACCAACGGTGTTTGTTTCGGTTCCTCGTCTCTGGATGAAGTTTCAGCAGGCTGTGACATCAAAGCTCCCCAATGTATGGCTCCAATTTCTTTTGCGCATTCCTATCATTGGGGGTCTAGTCCAAAAGAAGATTCTCTCAGGACTTGGTCTGGATGCCTGTAGGTTTGCCATCTCTGGATCAGCTCCAATTTCCCCCGAGCTCTTGATGTTTTACAGTCGCCTCGGTCTAAATATGATGGAAGGATACGGAATGACAGAGAATTACGCGTTGTCTCACTGCGGCAGGATTGGTCGCACTCGAGTTGGATACGTGGGAGAGACATATCCTGGAGTGGAACACCGCCTAACCGAGGAAGGCGAAGTTGAGGTGAAGACCCCCGGCTTGATGATGGGATACTTCAAGAACGAAGAAGCCACCAAGGCAACCATTACGGAGGATGGGTGGCTGAAGACTGGAGATCGTGGTTCTATCGACAAGATGGGACGGCTCAAGATTACAGGCAGGACCAAGGAGATTTTCAAGACCAGCAAGGGCAAGTATGTGGCCCCAAGTCCCATTGAGAACAAGCTCAACGTCAGCGACCACATTGAGTTGTCCTGTGTGACCGGCACGGGCTTTCCGCAACCATTTGCAATCCTCCAGCTTTCAGAGGCCAGCAAAAAGGCGGCAAGTGAGAGCTTGAAGGCCCAGGCTGAGATCACCAAACAACTCGAGGCATTTCGTAAGGGTTCCATCAACAAGGTGGTGGACCCCCATGAAGCTTTGGACCGCCTGGTGATTGTAAAGGACGAATGGCTCCCTGAGAATGGGCTCTTGACTCCTACGCAAAAGATGATGCGTACAAAGATCGAAAACAAGTACAAAAGTCACTACGAGCAGTGGAGTTCATCGAAGAAGACTGTTGTGTGGCACGGCTGGTAAACACACACATCCGTTTGCTTTTTGACCGACTGAGGAAGGAGTGCATGAATGCAAACTCCTTAGTATAATAGAAAAGCAACTCAGAAAGTCTACATATAATGCACATGGATACATTTATTTAGCCGCCTTCTCACATCATCTTGCGAATTGTAGCCGACGGCGAGAGAAGAGGTTTGGACCAGAACACTCGGATAGATTCAACCCGGAGCGTGCTCGGCAACCAAACTCTCAAACCCGTCCCAGTATGGCGAGACTTGGGCGAAGGTTTCCAGAGTTTGTCTTTGCCAAGCCAGCTACTAGTGAAAGCCCAGTTTCAATAGTTACATCCTTGGAGAACGCAGGCACCAATGCAATGAAATGGTATAGATGGTTGACCTTAATTATGACGAAAGATTGCTTTATTGGCGTCTCATTGAGAGACACTCATCGGGAGTCTGTCTGAACAAGCACTGCTGTCATAGAAGCAATCAACCATGTAGATTGTCGGGGAGACCTGTTTCCTCTTGAAAAGGTTTCCTCTTCCTGGCCACGGTATCTTATGAATCAAGTTGGTGTTGCTGCTGCCCTCCTATTCATTCTACCACACGAATTGACATGACTTCATTATTGACTTTGACGGTGACACCTCCCAAAATGGTCACCCCTTTAATGACAACGAGGGGTGAATTTTCAATTTGTCCAGCATGGACCGTTTGTCCTTCCTTTAATCCACCAAATGCTCCCAAGAGAGCAATACCGTGACTCTCCACTCGCACTCCTCTTGGCACGGTAATACTGAGTGACCCCAGCACCGATCCCGCCACAATGGTAGTGACGGGATGTACAAAATCGGCAATGCTCATGTCAATTTTGGCACCATTGAGTATTTGTCCCACTTGAATGGTCTTGGGGACGGTGAATTTTCCCTTTAGATCGGATGTTTCAATGACGAGAATTCCTCCCATGGCTTTGCTCTTGGCAAATCCGTCGAGCATGGCTGCGGTTGGTTTTTTGTAGAAGACGGCGGATTCCATTTCCAGGGTTCGCATGGTGACGGTCGATTGGACAAAGGGATCCAGACCGGGTCGCACGGGTTCGCTAGTGTTTGGAACTCGTACCGACGTCATGGGAGCTTCTGCCACGGCTTCAGCGGATACGGCTTGTATGGATGGTGCTGCGACAGTATCGACTGGAACGGCGGGTGCCATGGGTACTTCGACTTCTGGTTCTTCCGTTAGTCGTGCTCCACAAGTCGAACAGAAATTGGATCCGGCCAGTGAAGCCGTCGAGGCACATTTGGGACAAGCGGCAAACTTTTGCATGGTGGCGGGCTGACCTCTCAATGAAGCACGATGATGACTGTTTTGACGCAAACCCTTGGCAGGGAGTTTGGTGCTATTGTTGTTGTTGTTGTTGTCGTTTTGTGACATGTACTACAGTACAGTACTAGCTAGATAGTAGTAGAGTGGTGATACGGTGATACAACAACTGAGGATTTGATGAGGCTGTAGCTTATACCAGGCAGACCCCAGTGATCTCTGACCCCGTTTATTGTGGTGGTGGTGGGTTTGGTTGGTTGGTTATCCTTAGGGTTAGAGATTTACTTCAACCCCCTCTTTCTCACGCATTCTCATAATAATCATACGGTAGCAACGGATCCTAATATTTTCCTCACGATGCCCACCTCTAAACTCCCGTAAGCTACCACGCCACTTTCTCAGATGGAAAATCTTATGACTCACGTTGCACACCTCTAAACTCCCGTAAGCTACCACGCCACTTTCTCATATGGAAAAATCTAATGACTGGCCTTGCACACCTCTAAACTCTTGTAAGCTACCATGCCTCTTTCTCAGATAAAAAAATCTTACGTCTCACGTTGCACACCTCTAAATCCCGTATAAGCTACCACGCCACTTTCTCCAACGGAAAAATCTTACGTCTCACGTTGCATACCTCTAAACTTCCGTAAGCTACCACGCCATTTTCTCAGATGAAAAAATCTAACGTCTCATGTTGCACACCTCTAAACTCCCGTAAGCTACCACGCCACTTTCTCAGACGGAAAAATCTAATGACACTACATGTACCTTCAGCCAAACTTTAACAATATTATTATGCCGGCCCATCTTTTAATTCAGCTCGCCCGGTATATCTATTACACCTCCGGTGTCCTTTTTGGTGCAAGAGCCGCGTCGAAGATTGATTCTTCCACGACTTACGGGGTTCTGGATGAGTCGTGAATGATAAGGATAAGGCTTAATAAATGGTGAAAAGATACCGGACCTCATTTTTTCGTTGAAGCTCGGAACGGTGGAAGAAGCAAAGATACTGCTGCCACACCTACCGGTGGTACCAGGTACCAGCAAATGGAAACGGCAAAAAGCTTCGATGAGATACCGGTACCAGTACCGGTACCAGCCGAACCGGAAAGCAGGAATTAGAGGATGGAAAGAAGGTCTTAATGGACGAACATCTCCCTCACATCTTCCAAATCGTCAGTGCCAGAGAGGTATCTTTGGAATTTGTTGTTGCACTTTGTTGTTTCCTTGATACTAGTACCTTCAAACTAATTTCACTGTTCATTTTTGAAGTGCTTGTTAGCATCGTTTGTTGTCCCACCAAGCAAGAAGCAACCACACAGCCACCATGGGAAACAAGAGCTCGAAACCAGCAGATCCCGCCAAGGAGACCGCAGAACCACCGACCAAAAAGGAAGAACAAGATGCGCCACCGGTCGTCATGCCGCGCCGTGCCCATACATTGCGCAACAATCCCGCTCGATTGGCATCCGTCCGAGAAACATTTGATCGTTTGGATTTGGATGGTTCGGGATCATTGGATTTTGAAGAAGTCTCCAAGGGTCTGGCGACCCTCCATTATCCTGCCAATTATGCCTTTGATGTCTTTATCGAGTGTGACGAAAACAACGACAAACAAATCTCCTTTGAGGAATTCAAAAAGTGGGTGACGGCCAAAGATGAGGATATGGAAGAGGTAAGAAAGATGCATACAATAATGAACCAATGAATGAAGAAAATCAACAATCCAAACATAAGAACAGGGATGAATCGAAGCTGATGACAGTCAAAATTCAAAATTGCACACTTGAAGCTGACCGACATATTGCCTTTCCATATATATCTCTTTTGGTATGTGTAGCTTTTCAACAGTATCGACATGGACAACAGTGGACGAATTGACTTGAAAGAACTGGAACTATTCTTGCAGCATCTGGATATGCCCGCCAAGAATGCCAAAGATCTGATGAAGAAATTGGACAAGGATGGGGATGAATTGATCACCTTTGAAGATTTTATTGACGGATTTGCCTTGCTCGACCCCGTCCACTTTAGTTCCTTGAAAGATACCTGGATGGAATACGAATCCGATTCTGATTTGGCCGGAGTTTCTGCCATTAACGTGAGTCAAACCGCCAAGCGTGATGAAGCCAAGAGCAGTGTCCCGGCTTGGACATCTGCCGCAGCCGGTGGATTGGGCAATGCCTTTAGCCGTACCGTCATTGCTCCGTTGGAACGAACCCGCGTCCAGATGATTACCGATGCGGGCAAATATCCCAGCATGATGGCCTGCATGACGGATATCGTCAAAACAGAAGGAATCATTGGATTTTGGGCAGGAAATGCCTTGAATGTCGGACGGATTGGTCCTCAAATGGCAATTGCATTCTATGCCAAGGATTACTTTAAAAATCTCTATGCTGGAGAAGGCAACAAACCCACTGCGCTGCAAACGTTGGCGGCGTCCATGTCGAGTGGTATTGTCTGTCAGACGGGTGTCTATCCCATTGATCTGGTGCGAACCCGACTCATGACATCTCCTGGAACGTACAATGGCATGATGGATTGCCTCACGACAACCATCAAAGACGAAGGCATCACGGCACTTTACAAAGGCTTGCTTCCGGCCAACTTTTTTGCCGTGCCCTACTACGGCACTCAGTTCTTTGTCTATGATACCCTTAAGGTACAATACGCAACATACGGGCGACCCCCAGACAATCCACGACAAGCCAGTCCATTGATTGGTATCCCCTTGGGAGCGATTTCCAGTATGACGGCGTGTTTTGTGGCCTTTCCCTTCCAAATGGCCTGGAAACGATTGCAGGTGCAAGGTGTGGGTGGTAGGCCCGTGATTTATGCTGGAACCTTTGACTGTATCAAACAGGTCATTACCAAAGAAGGAGTGAGAGGTGTGTACGCGGGTCTCATCCCCAACCTGGTCAAACTGGCTCCCACGGGCGCCATCTCCTTTGTTGCCGTCGAGTACATTAAAGATTTCATGGGATGGCGTCCGCAAAAATAACTAAATACTCTGGTGAAACACAACAATCCACAATGCCCACCTATCAAGGCATAAGTCATCCCTCCGTAACATAGTTGTTTTTGAGTTTTGTTTTTGTCAATGGGGCAATTTACCCGGAGGTACTATCCAGCTAGTAGATCCTGCATTGATTCGTTGCACCCAGGCTCTCTCCTCTTCGATTCTAGTTTCTTTGGAATGTCAGGTCACTCTTCAGTAACTCGTTCACAGTTACATGTAGTTCAAAGCGCCAAGCAAGCGGTGCCGACCAACCTCCTCGAAAGCCAAGGTTGTCGAGTTCATCTCTTGCTGTACCTCAATCCCTTAGCTCCTAACCCTATTGTACCGTGACTGCGAGTTGTCAATAGTGCGTTCTACTAGCCAGGGCTTCTTCAACGGTTGGATCATTGGATCATTGGAGTTTGCTTGATTGAAGGCACATTGATGATAAGGAAGGCAAGATGACATCGTACTACAGCACCAACAACCCATACATACTACGAATAGTGGCGTGTCTTGCCATTGTAGGAGTCCTGAATCAGCTTCGAGGGTCTATTCAAGCACTCGAGAGCTCCCATAATTCGGCTTCCGAAGACCAGTTGATCGGAGCCGTATCTCGAGACCATGGTGACGGTCTCCAACGCTTGAAGAGATTAGTGTTACCTGTGACCACTGATGGAATGGAGAAGGCTGCGACAAGAACAAGCTTTGACGAAACCAATGCTGACATCAGAGTAGTCGTCGACAGGAAGGAAACGACTGGAGAGACGGCTCTGCGGGCACCAATGCTGTCCCAGCCAAAACAAAACCATCAACAAAATCATGAACAACAACAACAACAATCCACACATCAGCAGAAGAAGAAACCCCTCAACATTTTGATTCTGTATCCAGATGACTGGCGTCATGATGACATTGGAGGTGTAGCTCCCGTCGTGAAAACTCCCTTTCTCAATCAGCTGGCTCGAGACGGCATTCGCTTTACGCACAACATGGTGACTACTTCGATTTGCTGGGTCAGCCGTGCCACACTGTTCACAGGACAATATCTCAGTCGTCACAAATCCTATCGCTTAAAGACTCCGGAATTTTACAAAACATGGCACAACACCAGCTGGCCCGCATTGCTCCAACAATCAAACTACTATACAGCTCATATTGGCAAGTGGCAGTACTACGATTTTGACAAGCAACGACAAGCCGAACTCTTCAATTACACCAGTATCTTTGAAGGAAAGCATCAATACCCATCCAAAGGAGGCGCATTCATTTCCGCGGCCGAAAAAATGAGCATGGAAGTCAAGACTTTTCTGCAACAAAAACGACCGACAGATCAACCCTTTGCGCTCACGGCGGCCTTTTTCCCACCCAAGGCCATTGGCAATTCCAAAGCCCCGGGAGGACAATGGTTCCCTCTCAATAAAACAGTCATGAAATATTATGGTCCCAATGTCACCATTCCCCATCCGTACGATGAAACCGACTCGTATAAGCGACTCCCCTGGTTCTTTCACAGAGTGGAACGGGGAGGGCGATCGCGATGGGAAGAACGATTCCAAGGGGAAGAAAAGTATCAAGCTGCCATGAAAAACTACTACAGTCTAATCACAGAGGTGGATGAGGCATGCAAAGATATTGTAGACGAGTTGGAACGGCAAGGGATCGCCAATGAAACCCTCATTATCTTTACAACGGACAATGGCCTGTTTCACGCGGAACATGGATTGGCAGGCAAATGGTATCCATATCAGGTAAGTGCAGCAGTGTAGTATCAGGACGGCTTATCAGGATGACAGCTAGCCTATTCCTGCTCACATATATATCGCTGGTTCCTGCATTTGGTAGGAGTCTATACGAGTGCCCCTCATCATTCGAGACCCTCGCATGCCGCTGCAAAAACACAATACACTGGATGGATCCTTGACACTGAACATTGATCTGCATCCTACCATCTTGGGTGCCGCTGGCATTACACCTCCATCCAGCACACAAGGGATGGATATGGCAACGTTATACATGCCACAAACCAACAACGACGAGTCCGTACCGGTAGCCTCGGAGGCTACGGATGGCGATAAGAGCTGGAGAGACGAATTCTTTTATGAATTTCCCTTGGATCAAACAAAAAACATGCCCATGTCCAGCGCCGTGGTTAGAAAGGTGAGGGCGTAAATGGCTGGAGTCATGCATTGACCAGAGCCCGAGCGACTGCTTCTTAAGCTTTGCTCTTCTCATCCCATCTCACATGATGCTCCTCTCTCTTGGCTGCTTTCCGATAGGACTTGAAATTCATCTACTGGCCCCAGTTCAAATACGAACAACTCTTCAACTTGACTGAAGATCCGCTAGAATTGAATGATGTGTGGAACCAGCCACAATATGCAAGTGTATTGAAGCAGCTCCAGATGAGGCATGAAAAATGGAAGGAAGCTGTCAAATAATCACAAAAGGTCCGCGTCCAGCATATGATAGACCTAAAGTGGCCTGGGCAGGCTGGGGGTTGGGGGTTGCTCGTGGGGCATCGACCGGTAATAGCCACCCCTCGTTCTGGACATGCCCGCGGCTAAATTCTGAAAATTTCCGTGGCAGTACACTATGGTAGGTAGTGCTCTTATGAAGCTACGCATAGCTACCTGGTAGCAGCAGCTGGATCAAAACCTGAGCACATCAGCAGAACCATAATCCGCTTTTTCTGCTAAAAATCAATTTCCCAGTTTGCAAGAGCTTTTTGCATTAGCCCAAGGATGGAAGACGGTGAGCTAGATGTCGAGGCCATTGCTGCAGTTATGGGCCACTTCGGGAACATGTTCTCCAACGCTAGGACGTCCCCTCCTTGCCCGGTTCGAGAAGCTCTTCGGAGTGGCGACAGAGACAATGTACTCAAACTTATCAAGGAAGGAACGGATCCGTTCGCGTATCCTACGTCCTTCTTCGGGTTGGGTGAAGAAAGCACAGTATTCCACGAAGCGTCTTCTCGGGGGGACGTTGAAATGATGCTGGCGATGGCTGCTGAACCAGAGACAGAGTGGAAGGGACGATTCCTGCTCAGCGTTCAACAGGTCGTAGATTCGCCCAGTAAAGGACGTTCGTGTATTCCTACCGCAACTGGATCATCCGGCAATTTCTTCATGTTTGGACAAGGCTTGTCGTTCGAAGGGCTTGAGATCCTCATGACGTACGGATACTGTCTAAAACGACGTGATTTTGAAGGTATCTGTGGGTTGTGGGCACGGGACCCACCCAAGTACTTGCGGATGCTCAAGCTTTGCCTCGCAACAACGAAACGAGAGAAGCTGAACCTGAACTCGTGTTTGGGACTTGCAATTGGTGGTGCGCACGGTTGCTTCATAAACGGAAGACAGCCAAGCTCCCTTGAGCTAGCAGAAATCTTGCTCAAGGCAGGCGCGGATCCCGATGGGTATTGCTTTCAAGGCAATACGCCATACGACTTCACTCCAGCGCTGTTCCAAGCACTTGTTAACGGAGATAGTGACATGGCTACTCTTCTCATATCGTATGGAGCAGATGTATCTAAGGACGCTCAAATGAGTGAGTGGACCGACGACGATGAGCTCGATGTGGAACATGTTTCAATTCAGGCAAAAGCGGAGGAAGTTGGAATGGCAGACATTTTGTGCAATACCGAGGCTCCGAGAACAGCAGACCCTGAAGCATTTTTCAAAGAACTACGACACGAAATGAGTGGACCTCTAAAGCTAGCCGTGGCGGAACACAGTGCCATTCTAGTAGCGACGATGATGCGGTGCACTGGCTGTTCTGCACCCGTGGGGTTCTTCTCAAAGTTGATTGTGGAATACTGTCCTCTTGGATTTGATCTTTGGAAGGTTGAAATTGAATAACTCAAAACGTCGTGGGATCCCGGTATGCAACAAGCAGATCAAAGAATCCGGTTGGCGACCTGCAGCTTTCAAGGACTCGGAGATTGACCTATGCATGGAGTCGCGATAAAAACCATCTACTTTAGCCCAATTGTTCAGAGCCCAACTTCCTCATAGCTCGTCTCAGCACCTCCGTAACGGTGCCGGTAGCTGCCCGTCCTTACCGGTACCGGTACCTTCTAATCTACTAGTAGTCTCAAACCGACACCCCCAACCAACACTCGGCTTCGTACAGCTGGCAAAATATTCCTCCATGATATGTGAATTGTCGTGTGGACGTAGCATGAGCCCTTTGCGGTCTCCCGTCAATTCAAACTATGGGATCCCCGCCATGCCTTGCCAAAGCTTTTGTCAAATTCCGGTCAAAGCACGTATGATGCGCCTCTTTGTATTCGTCTTCATATTTCAAATAAACTCCTTCTTCTAGCCTTAGTCCTGACATTCCTCGCCACCTTGTTCCATCACCCTTGACTCCACAGGTAAACATCGTGCGACCAAAGTACTGTGGTATGATTCCATCTTCGGCCCATCGCATCTTGATGATCATTTCTGGGTTTACAGCCGATGGATAGTCTACAAAGTTGTGCTTTCTGACCAAAGGATTATATTTGCGATAATGCAAGTAGTAGTTTGGATTCTGGAGCACTGGTGGCAAGATATTGAGGACATCCAGGAATTTGTGGGCAGGTGCCACCACGTGCCTGTCAGTGAAACCCCACCAGGCCTCTCCGCTTGGTAACCAGACTTCATTTGGGTCGAGTTCTGATAAGTCATGTTCGCACAAGTAGTAGTGATCGGAGCGGGTAAGCACGAAGCGATCGTATTTTAAGTGAAGTGAATGCTCCTTTATTATGTTGGAAAGGTACCATCTGATCCAGAAGATGATGGCTCCGCTTCCGGGGTGTCCTTTGCATCCTCCATAAAAGCCACCTCCTACAGTCCCCTGTTCAACCTCGAATGCATGCCTAAGAAGTACATGCCATTTTGTATCATTATTGGTAATCAAATTCAGTGCATCGGTCCAATCACTGTACTCAGGGAATTCCCAAAGATACTTTGCTCGCTGATAGAGACTACTATTTTTTTCTTTCTCTGGTTTGGCTCCGAGTAGAAGGGCCAAGTCTGCTTGGTTTAAATCCAGCACATTCTCATACAAGGTATTCCATGTTTTTTCTCCTCCTCTGAGGGTGCCAGTAATAATCACCAGAGTCTTGTTGCGGCTGTCATCACGGAAATGCTCATCCACTTGACTACTAGAGTCGGAAATAGTTAATGGAACCTGTGAGAGGAATCCCCTGGATTGTTTCAAAGAGAGGATGCTAGTGGCCACAAGTAGCGACATGAAAAACTGGAAGACCACACGACTAGTGAGCCTCATGTTAGGCACATGCTGGCCGGTTTTCTCGTTGCGGGCCAGACAGCATAAGCCAAACCCAAATTTCTTTCTTTTAGGTGTTAGTACCATTGGCTTGGTGAGTCTAGCTAGCTACCAGTGGAGTAATAATAATCGGCAGAGAGAGAACAACCTGCGAAAGATGGATGATGAAAAGAGTGCTCCGAAATGTCTGGAAAATTTGGCAAATTGTGAGGATACTTTTTTGACGTTGTCGTTCATCCAGCTTCGGGGAGAATGCGAGCATGGGGAGCAGTTTCATCTTCACCACATGGGAAAACCGGAATAAGTCAGCGGGAGCTGCAATACCTCGGCAGAAAGACAGATAGAAGAAGGAGGATCATGTTCGAGATTGCACCCATCTTTCAAGCCAGCCCTGGCGACAACACCCGACTACGTCGTGTGTTGCCGCCCGGTATCATTCATTCCCTCATTGCAACCTTCTTTATTAAGCTAGCCCTGGCGACAACACCCGACTACGTCGTGTGTTGCCGCCCGCTACTCTATAATTTACCAGCTGCCATTCCCTTATTGTAACTCTAACCTTTACAACTCCTGCTGGCTTATTGTGCTGTTGTGCTGATTGCACTAACCTTAAATATTAATGATTTATTCCTACCCCTAACTTGTATTGAACCATCAATGTTCAGTTTTGTTGGCTTATGACTATCTCTATCCTTATACTTTGGCTTCACCGGAATAGGAAATAGGAAATAGGAAATAGAAAATAGGAAATAGGAAATAGGAAATAGGAAATAGGAAATAGGAAATAGCATTAAAGGGGTTGAGAACTCAGGCAGTTTACCTGCCGAGGTAAATACCATTTGCAATTGGGACGCAACGTGACCAAAATGATTCCATCCAATTACTACATGTTGCCAGCACCTTTTCCGGGAGATTACAGGCCGATGAAGCAAGTCAATGAGAATGGTATCTATGCGTACAGATTTGATGCCGTGTCCAATCATGCTGTTTTCAATGCAGATGCATTTCGGACGTACCTCAAGAGCCGATCCTCAGCTTTACAATCCTGAGGGACCCCTTGGAACGAGCCATTAGCGCCTTTAACTACTTTCCTCCCTATAGCTCTGGAAACTATACATGGCAGCATTTCATCAGAATGTACAAGAACACCACATACATCAAAACACCTGCCCACGCAAAGCATGTGAACTCAATGGCCCATGCGTTGGGATGGTATCATTTGCGACCACCAATTCCCAGTGGCAACAACAATATTCAAATGAAGGGGATGATGTGAACAACATCATTTGATCACAACAAATCAGCTATTAGAGATTTCATCAAGAAAGTGGATAAAGAAATTGATTTGGTCATGATTCTTGATCACTTGGCAGAGAGCTTGTTGCTGCAGAAGGATGAGTTGCCTCAGCTGGAAGTGACAGAACTGCTTTGGTCTATTAATAATTTCAAAAGTTCAGGCAGGGGTGGATCTTCTGGTGATAATGACAAGGGTGACAGAATGAGCCACAAAATCTACCCAACCGAAGCCGAACGACAAGAGCTGTCATACATGATGCTTGTGGATCAGATGATATATGATCATTTTCGGGACAAGCTATTGGCTCGATGGAAGGCCAAAGTGGAGCAAGCACCAGCAGAAACCCGCCAACCGAAGAATGGACTCAATTGCCTTCATAAAACTGTCACACAACTTATTCTCTCGACCCAGAGCAATCGTCTCCCAAAGCCCCTGCAGATAGGCTTATCCCAAGATTCTCCTGCCTTTACAAAGCTGCAGTCTACCAAGCAAGAAAGGGACAACAATGTTGGCAGCTAACTACTGTAACTGATGATCGAGTTGCCCTTGGATGTTCCAAGTGACTGACTCTATGATGTCAAACCATATTTATCACGTAGAATGGGTAATTGATTTCCAAACCAGTTGCCGCTCCGCTGAGTCTATGGCTCCTGAAATGCCTCTTCCTGTCCAGTAGAGAACCACCAGCGATATCATGAGAATTGAATTGTGCTCCAGGTCGCTCGTCACCCAGTGAGTATATGGCTCCCAGATCGGTACGTGAGCGGCAATTCCCCCAAAATGGTGAGCAGTGTTTCAATTGTTTGAAAGCGAATCACTTGAGGTGGAGGCTGCGTAGAAGGCTTGCATATAAATCACTACTCTCTAGAGTTGCGAGTTGCGTGGTCTCTTTGCTGCTACCGCCTACCAGAGTGTGCCCAACGAAAGTCTGAAACTTGATGATTTTGCGGCGGCGGCAAGCAACGCTTTTTGACCGTGGGCCATACTCGAATGTAGTCAAGGACGAGGCAGTCAGGTACATGCACGGTAGCTCGCGTTGAGTGGTGCATCGGTAGATTGTTGGTTGATTTGATCGAATCCGAGCGTGTTGAACCGACTAGAGGCTGCCTTGTCTTGTTTGGGGATTGTATCACGGCTGCTGACGCCTTGTCATGGTTCTGAGCCAACCAATACAGTATATATGTCAAACGCTAATCTCGTCACTAAATTCCTCTGTGTGAACCGTCACTTGCGGAGTTGTTGTTGTTGACACAGCTTGCTCCTTTTTCTCAGCAGTGGATCGGTTGATAGTGGAAATCAACCCTTTCTTTGCAGGTACTTTCGTTGGTATTGATGTCATTTTTGCAGCTTCACTCTTTCCCGCTGAAGCACTTGTATCGTTGATTGTCGGTTTGGATGTCACCACCTTCTCGTTCGATCGAGTCTTGACGGGTGACGCGTTTCTCGGTTCCTTTTTGGATTCTTTTGTTTTTCTTTTTGTCGTAGTAGTAGTAGTCGTCGTTGTACCGGTACTACTATTCATAGCGTCTTGTTGTAGTAATTTTGGTTGTTGTTTTGGTTTTCGATGATTCTGCATTCGTTCTCGTGCCTTGTCAATGTTTCCAGAGCTCTTTTCGATGGCTTTGAGTCCAGCCAAGAATCCCATATTGGGATTGACCTCTCGCACGGTGCGCAGTAGATTGAGTGCATCCAAGAGGGAATATTGTTGACAGGAAATCAACCAGGCGGCACAGACGGCGGCCGAACGCGAGACTCCACGAGCACAATGGACCAAACAGTTGCGACGAGGTCGGTCGACTGTTGTAGTAGAAGAAGTGGAGGACTTGTTGCTGCTGACAGTGTCGTCTTGCTGCAAACTTTGCGAAATGATGTTGCAAATATCCGTCAATCGTTCCGACAAGAAATCGGCATGGGCCTTGTCGGGAAGATCCCACACCACATGTTGCGTGACGAGTGGTCGCTGAAATTTGCGTTGTTCTTCTGCCAACGTCTCCTTGACCGTGCGAATGATGGAGTCGGAGGACAAGATGGAAATGACGGTCCATTCTTCTGTGTCGGAGGAGGATTGCTGTAATTCGAAAATCGTTCGAACCGCCGCCATTCGTCCAATCCAGAATCCGGGAATGATCTGACCCATGGAACGCTTCGATTTTCGAGTCATGATACTACCTCAAACAAACAGATAGACAGAAGAACACACAACGATGCGATATCGATGCCTTCCAAAGCCAACAGCTCCTGTATGGGCATCGTAGTGAAGAGAGAACTCTTTCGGAAGCTTGAGCTTGCTTGAGGTGATCAGGCGGGGCGCGGCGGTCACAAAGGCCATTAGGGTTGAGATTTGCAGTCGCAAATGAAACAACCGGGAACAGAAGCGTTATGTATCACATCCAGAGAGTTCCAATGGCTTCCTCTCCACGAAAGCTTCCAAAAATGGATGAAAACAACACGTTGCCCTCACGATGAGTGGGTGCATCGTGCATCATCGCATCAGCTCATTTTCCATCCCACATGCGTCCCGCTGGTTGGGATTGGCATGACTGTACAGTACAGCCCTGCACCCAGCATTTATAATTGGTATCCACATCGCCGACACAAAAGCTGACCCAGAGGAGGAGAGAAGAGAACAAAACAACTCGAAATAGTGTGAGATTGAATCATTCCCAAGGCAGAAAGAAACGCAGAAAGAAACACACAAGCCAACTCGAACGATAGCGGCAGCATTCTCTTCCCATCGACGACAAAGCCCACAACCACTACTAGCATCTACTCCTCTGATTGGATTGAATCATCAGTCCTCCTCCTCTCCTTCTCCAGAAATTGCGACCATGAAAGAAGAAACCACGAGTGATTCCACAGACCTTTCCAATAATGTTCCAGCATCTACTTCCATTCCCAGCGGAGACAACAACGATAACAACAACAAACATTCGGGAGGATTCTATTTGCGATGGAGTCGTATTCGCAAGACGGTCGATGTCCAAGACAACGGCGGTGGTGGTTTGATGCGCAGCAGTATCGCTGGGAGACGTGCCAGTAGTGCACCGCTCAGTCGCACGTTTAGCAGTGCCGCGCTCAGTACGGCAACCACGACAAAAGAAACCAAGGACATTCTCTGCGAAGCATCGGGCTATGCCGCCCCCGGCGAAGTTTTGGTGTGTATGGGACCGTCAGGGAGCGGAAAGACCAGTTTGCTCAACTGTTTGAGTGGTCGGACATCCTATCAAGAAGGAACCATTAGTATCAATGGAGAACGATTGACGGGACACAAAATGAAAAAGGTCCTCAGCAAAACGGCCTATGTCAAACAAGCCGATATCTTTTTTGAACACTTGACGGTCCAAGATCAACTCACATACACGGCATTGCTGCGATTGCCATCCACCATGAAACGAGACCAAAAACACGACGAAGTGGCACGCATCATTTCTTTACTCCGATTAGGAAAGGTGGCCGAAAATCCAATCTCCATGTGCAGTGGGGGAGAAAAGAAACGAGTCAATATTGGGACCGAGCTCTTGACCGATCCCATGGTGCTCTTGCTGGACGAACCGACGTCGTAAGTGGCCATGAATGCAACTGTCTCTTCCTTTCATTCTTTCTTTCTAACTTTGAAAATTAAATGGTGACAATCTATATCTGACAGCGGGTTGGACTCGACCAGTGCCGTTTCCTTGATCCGGCTGCTATCGAGTTTGGCCAGAGATCAAGGAAAGACTGTTCTCACAACAATACATCAGCCATCGTCGCAGCTATTTCGGTCTTTTGATCGATTGCTCATGATATCCGAAGGGCACGTGGTTTACTTTGGAACGCCCGTCGCTTCCTTGGACTATCTACGAAATCAGAACTTGGCGTGTCCCGAAGGGTACGTTCCTTGTTTTGTGTGTCTTGTTTTTGAGTTGCGTGCTTGGAATCTGACAACTGGTTGCTTGTTTGTGGTGGTGATAGCTACAATGCAGCAGATCATTGGATGGATTTGTTGGTCATGGATCACGAAACCATGAAGGAACGAGAAGGCGACGACGAAAACCAAAACAACAACAACAATGAGCAAGGACAGGAACAAGGAGACGACAATGGCAGCACTCATTCGTCCCACGGTCACGGACGACGCCAAATTCCACGACTACAACTACAATTGGCATGGGACAATGAAGCTGTAGCGGAGGAAATGGATGCCGCCTTGATCGACGGCGGCGACGACAAAAGTGTCAATACCGACGCCAGCGATGCCAACAACAACAACAACAATAAAAAGGGACACGCCTATGACGATGTGAAAAAGTACAACACGTCGTGGGCAACCCAGTTTTCAGTTCTGATCCACCGTTCTCTCAAGGGATCGAGGTCTTCCATCTTTACAACGCTCAACATGATCAAATCGGTTGCCATTGGTCTCGTGGTCGGCCTCATTTGGTGGCGCATGCCGTATACAGAACGTACCGTCTCGGATCGCTCTTCCTACTTTTTCTTCACAATGGCATTCTGGGTCTTTGACAGCATGTTTGGTGCCTTGATGGCATTTCCAACCGAAAAGGTTGTCATCTTGAAGGAGCGTGCATCGGCATCGTATCATTTGAGTGCTTACTTTTTGGCCAAAACCTGCAGTGATGCCCCGGTACGACTTGTCTTGCCATTCCTCTACATGTGTTGCAGTTTCTGGATGGCGGGTGTAGACGAACGCTTTGGAGTCTTTTTGGCTTCCACGGGGTGCACCTTGTTGAGCGTGCTGGCAGGGGAATCCCTTGGTCTGTTGGTTGGAGCATCCATTTCGGAAATGGACAAGGCAATGACTGTCCTGACGGTTAGTTCCTTGGGACTCATGTTGCTGGGAGGATTCTTTGTCGAGAACATTCCGTCCTTTGTGAAATGGGCCAAGTATTTTTCTCCCTTCAAGTATGCATTTGATGGATCCTTACAGTTGGTCTTTGACCGTGATGTTCCCTGCGATGGAAGCGGAAAACTAGAGAATCTTTGTAACGGGTCAGACACTGGATATGCCAAAGCCTCGGATGTGATTTCGCAGACACTTGGCGTCCAAGGAAGCATCGCTTTCAATGTTGGCATGCTCTTTGTCATTGTTCTCGTGCCTCGATACGTTGCGTATTTGGCATTGCGCGCTCAGAAGGGTGGAGATCGGTCGTAGAGTTGCGAGGAACACAGAGACGGCTGCTGACATACTGGAGCACTGTACATACATTTGAAAAGGACAAAGCTGGCTCGCCTTTGCTACTGTATTTAGCACCTAACTTAATTAAAGGCTGTTCATACTTGCGATCGCAAAAGCATGAAGTGGTTGGCCTATTATACTTTTCATGGCGGGCGGGGCAGCGGATTGAAGCGTTTGGGACATCCCACTTCAATGATGCTGGCCAAGGAAGTTATCCTGGATCACAACCGATGATCCTTGGAACGAAACACTAGCGCTACAGCGCTTCCGAAAGATGGCGTTTGGAGATGTTGAAATGGCTCGGGTCAATTGTTGCTCACCACCCGAGAGCAGCGACTAGGATTGCCCTCGCCAGCATGATGTTGATCTTGTCAGTGCCATTTCCAGTCGGTAGTTCTGAACGAACCAAAAACTCCCATCTAGCACCGATACACCTATCGCCAGTCGTTTCTCCCGTGTCTTCTCCAGGTTCGACGTGTACGAAAGTGCCCTCGCGAGATGGGTTTCCTCCTCGCAGCCGGCAATGCAGCGACAGCCTGCAAGCAACTCGACCTAAACTCTGCTCATCTGGCCGTCTCTCTTCTCAGGGATCTTGAGAGACATTGCCAACTCCACTACTTGGAGGATCCATAACCACGTCCGTTCCTTTTGCGGAACTCCTAATGAAACAACTTGCTTTGTTCTTGAAACAACTCTTCCACAAACTGATATAGTTTGATATCCCATCGATTGCCATCCGCAAAGGCTTCCCACTCCTCACTTCCTGCCACCATCTTGGGATGGGAATGTTTATTGGCACGTTTGGATTTTCCAGTCAGCAGATCTGTCGAGCAGTTTTTGGCCTTTTCATTTTTGTACTTGAAACCAAAGAATTTATCAAACCTCTCGGCACTCTCCTTCATGTTGGATGTGAGCCCCACCAGGACTCTGGTTTGCATCAGCTCCTTTGCGTCCGCCAGATCCTGTGCTGTCAGGATTGGAAACTCCTTAAGCGTTTTTCCAACGACGCTTCGCACGGTCCAGTCCGGAACAAACTTTCCGGATTTTGTGTATTGTGCAGCCGTCCAATTCCTAGTTTCGGGGCTGTATTGTGGCTCCCAAGTAGCATCCTGCAGGTAAAAGAACCTACTAATTTCCCGATCCACCGGGTGTCGAAAGAGGGCAAAGATGCGGCCCTTGTGTGTCGGTGAAAAGATGGTGGCCGTATCGCGCAGTAATGGCGAAAAGACAGTCTCGGAAAGCCCCGATTCTGCCAGTCCAAGTTGTTTGGCCCGTTTGATCCCTTCCCTAGTGGAAGTATCCACATTGACAACAGAGACACGAACCCCATCAATTTGCCAAGGAACATGAACTGCTATGGACTGATTCATTAAAAAAAGGAAACAAGCAGCAGAAATTGGTTGAGGCAAGCGATTCGATTCGATCTGATTCCATACTCCATGGCAACCAATCCACTAGCTAGCCAGTACACAGCCTTAGCAGTAAACACTCTTACCGTAGCATTCCACGATGGAACAAGCTCCTGGACTCCACCAACCTGATTGGCGATGACCATGCCTCTGCAAATGTAGTACATGTTTTCTATCGTGGTACCACCCGCCTTGGGATTGTGCCAGAATACAGCAGTGTGTTTTTCGGATGCTGGTTCGGAGACCAAGGCAAAATTTTGTTTCATTGCAGGGGTAAGACGGCTTTTCGCTTCTGTCTGGAGCGCAACCTTTTCTTCGACCTTGTGCTCGACCTTGTGCTCGACCTTGTGCTCTAACCCGGCCCCCGAAATCTCTGGTAGTTGGCATTGGCGCCCTCCAGCAGAATACAGCACAGCCGCTCCCAGTGATACCGCCAGAATTAGGAATCGAAACGACTTTTTCTCTACTCCAGGATTGTTCAGATCATTATTTGGTGTTGGACTACTCATCTTCGTCTAATCATACAAGCTTGAGCCGTCTCTGATGTCTCTTGCAATCTACTTGAGGGGACTTCTTGAAGGCACTCCGTCAAGAAAATGGAGTTTGGTGGGAACTGGGAAGACAAGCTGAAGAGTGAAAGCGGAAGCTGGTTGGTGTGTCTCTCATACTGGGTCATGTGCCTGGCATTGGTCATTTTGAGTGAATCGATCGTTCGACCAGCCAAACGATACTAGTACCAGTACATCGATTTGCCCAATCGATTATCGTGATCGAATGGAGAGCAGATTATTAAAAAAATGTCCGTCTGTTGGGCTTGAGAGATGATGATGCAGACCAAATGAATAATAAAATGCTGTAGTAGTGGATGCTAGGCATCTAGCTAGCTAAACAGAGCTGCTTGTTTTACGGATATCGTAGTCTGAACTTCCAAATATTAACGGTACACATACTCAGCCAGCAGAAGCTGCTGAGTGAGTGTGCCATGTTTTGGTGCAGAAGGAGGCGGAAAAGTAAATGGCTGAAGCGAAGAGCTCTGCCTTTACTTGGCCTGATTTTGTTGAATATGTTGAAGCGTTCCAAATCTTATCTGCGGCAAAACGTTATTGAAGCTGGGCTCCGGCGATCGCTGAGATTTCTGGTTTGTCTGCAGCACAGCTCCAAAGCTGCTCCAAACAAATGAAACACTGGAAATTCCCAATCAGGCAGGGTTTGAGTTGCCTCTTGCAAAGATCATGTTTCCTTGTCCCGACCGAATTAATCCCCCTCACCTCGTTCAACCCCTTACCTCGATGGAGGTGCCCCCGACCTTCGACTGGAGGTACCGAGGTACCAGTTGATAGCTAGTAGAGCTGCTAGAAGCCCCAGCCCCAGCAGCTGGACCGCTGATTGATGCATACTATACTAGGTAGAGTAGGACAAGAGCTTGACAAGGGTGTTTACTTGCAGGCATTAGACTACATGTAATTTTCTTTTGCATAAAGAGAGACGGTTATTAGACCGAGAAGAAGAAGTCAGATTCCATACTAGCTAGCTAGCTAGCTAGTACTGCAAATACTAGTACTCACAAGTTTCTCCGAAGGGTGCTTCTTTTTGTCTTTTTGCGCAAACCAGAGGAAGCTCCAAATAAAGATCTTCTAACTATTAATAATTCAGTATTAATACAAGAGTATTATAAGTCAGGAGAACTGCTCGTATTGTTAAATGATACTTGATTAAATCTTTATCAATGACCAATTATGACGAAGAAGAGCCTCCCCGGAGAACAGCGATTTATCCTTTCGAAACTGAGCATAATTAATTGATAAACAGCCTTTTCAACCAATGTTCGAAAGAACATTATATTAGCACTTTATTAATATTTAATAGCCCAAATTTAATAAGGTTTGTTTGTCACAAAGATTAGTAGTTGTTATTTTTGTCTACTGCGCCGAGGGCTTGCTTTTACTTCACTCAGAATGACAAGGGGCGCTACTGGCCCCTTGTTCGAGTAGAAGGGTCACGGGCACGCTAAGGCCCCTAAGGGTGTTTCATTCAATGTTGGTTTCTGTAGGAGTGCGCGCTAAGGCCTTCCTTGGAGTGTGGCGCGCTAAGGCCAAGTTCTAATGTTTTTGGGTTTGAGGAGGAGGTTCGAGGGATGGGAGATGGAGGGCTAGAGTCGGCCCGTGGCACACCATTGATATAATCGTGAATGCCTTCTGTCTTCGGTGATTTTGTGGGCGCGTCAGTTTCCTATCGCGTATAGTATGTATCCTTGGAGCCAAGACTGTTTATAGGGCTTGGATTTGGTAAGGAGAGAGATGAGTGAGTGTTTGAATTGGTTGTGATAACAGGAGGGAGTCCCCTGGTACCTTTGATATACTCAGCGGCAATTGCTTGGTGTCAAACAGGTTGAGGGCTAGTTGCTGACGGGGATTTTGTCGTCATGAGAATCTTGTTCCGATGTTCCCATAAACTCCAGGCCATCATGTGGGTTTGCGAAGGATTTTGGAAGTCCAAGTGGTACAGTGATGGAGTATCCCTCGCGTTTGTAGAAGGAATCCATATACTGGGCAAAACGAATGGAGGGGAGACTTCCAAGAAGTTCTTCCAACCGATTCGGTCTTGGGAGACGATAGTTGAGTAAGGGTGGCATCCCACTGGGGGTTGGGGAGCAATGGGAGGGAATTGCGCCAACTGTTCAGGCGGTCAACTAGTGCTATGTGAAGGTCAAGGGGGGTGTGAAGCTCTCCAAAAGCAGAGGCCAGCTCTAGCAAGTGAGCGCTCCAGACTTCATCAGATCCCTCAGCATGACATTGTAGAACATGAGTGGTGTCTTCTGGTGCTCCACAGCGTGGGCAATGGTCATCGTCCTGTTTTTGCCAGTGTTTGAGAGTAATGCCCACTCCACAGTTCTCAGAGGCGTGTTTGGTACACCACCTGCGCATACCCAATGGTAGAGTTTTCATCAGCTTTCCGCATACTTCCCAATCAACCAGCTGGAATGTTTCGGGGGACAGTCTTGCAGGGGCAAGGTGTGGTCAGAAGTCCAGTATTCTTCAATAGC